TCAATGGCTTTTTAAATTTAGTAGAAAGTTAAATTTGACGAAGATTTTCCAGCTGAGCAGGAAGAATCGGGGAAAAACTTGTGTCTTTTCGTGAGGTGAGAAAAAAGTTCAGGAACCCGCATGTCTTGATGATTTTTTTCTGTAGTGTAAAATTTTTGTTTCCCGGGGTTTGGGGGAAGGGCGCTAAGCCCCAAAGGGGTAAAAAGCAGCCCCTGGGGGAAGGAAGACAAAAAGTTCGTCTAAAAAGGACGGGAAAAGGAAATATGTTTTTTTTTTTTGATAAAGACCCCCTCCCCGGTATAAAGGCACTTAAGGGGTTTAAATTTTTGTGTCTTTTACAGTGTAAAAGCACGAGGTTTATTAAAATTAGGGATTGGCGGAGGGGGCAGTATAGTCCTTTATAAAAAGGGAAAAAAGGGGGAAAAAAGGAGACTGTAAAAATTAAAAGAGGAAAAAAGTTTACTGGTTTTACCGGGGAAAAGGTAGGGGTGGGTTTTAAATAATAAAAGAATTAGGGGTTTAAGACAGAATGTAGGATTGCGGGGGTTAGCAGGGGGGTTTCAGAGTGGGTAGGGGATGTGTTGATCAAGTGTTTTCATTGAAAACATATATGTGAACAGTATTTGATAAAGGTTGGGAAGTTTTTATTGCATTTATGGATTTGAAAAGGGATATGATAGAGTGGTTTGAGGGAGCAAAGGGGGAGATGTTGCAAATATTTTGGAATAAGGGGGTAAGTTAAGAAAAAACTGTAAAGAGTTTTTTATGAGGAATTTGTGAGGCCAGGGTTGGGTGGTGAAAGGGAAAAGGGGAAAACTTTCCCGGTTAAAAATAGGGTTTTAGGCCCGGGATGTGTAATGTCACCCGGGTTTTTTAATTTTATTTATAAAATGGGGGGGTTTTAAAGGGAAATAAATGCTAGGGTGTTCGGGAGGGGGGGGTGGGATTAAAAAAATTTGGGGGAAACAAATTCAAAAAAGGGAATTGACACAGTTACTTTTTGTGATGTTTTTTTTGCTTATGGGAGTTCTAAAGAAAAATTTCAAAGGTTAGTGGATGAGTTTGGGAATGTGGGTTAAAAATAGGGAAAATTTTAAAAGTTAACATTTAAAAAAAAGTAAGGTGATTTTAGGGTGTCCCAAAAGATTTAGAAAAAGAAAAAATTCGGGTATCAAATTGGGGAGGAGAAGTATGGGAAAAAAGGGAAAATTTTCAGGGTACTTGGGGGTTAGTTTTCGGCGGAAAGGGATTTATGAAGGATGAGGTTAAACTTTGAATTGATTGGGGGGGAAAAAAAAAGGGGGTGGTGCGTTTTAGGGATATGTGGAGTCCAAAAAAACTTTTTTTTCCCCATGGAGGGGAAAGAAAGGGAAAGTAAAGAAAGATAGCAGACCAACACTCTTTTATGGGTGGGGAAGTTGGGGGGTAAATTTCAGCAGCGGGAGACGGTTGGAGGCAGTGGAGGGTGTCCGGGTTTTAAAGGGGAATGTGTGGTTTTAAAAAATTATGCAAAAAAAATTCGGAGTGTGGGGAAAATTTGGGGAAAAAGGGGGGAGTTAATAAAAGTTTTTTGTCAGAGGGCAGAAGAGGGGTTGTTGAGGTGGTTTGGTCATTTAGAGAGAATGGATCAAAGTAGAATGACATGGAAAGCATATAAATCTATAGGGGAAGGAAGGCGGGGTAGGGGTCGTCCTCGAAAGGGTTGGAGGTTTTGTGGGCAAGGGGGTTGGACTTCCAGCAAGCGTGCATGAGCGTGTTAGATAGGAGTGAATGGAGACGAATGGTACTTGGGACCTGACGATCTGTTGGAGTGTGAGTAGGGTAATATTTAGTGAAGGGATTCGGGAAACCGGTTATTTTCATATAGTCGGACTTGAGTCCTGGAAATGGGAAGTACAATGCCTGCACTTTAAAGGAGGGGTTTGGGATATTGGCAGTTTGGAGGGATATGTTGTGTATCTTTATATGTGTATGCTTCTAAACTGTTGTATTCTGAGCACCTGTGCAAAAAACAGTGATAATGTGTGAGTGTGGTGAAAGTGTTGAATGATGATGAAAGTATTTTCTTTTTGGGGATTTTCTTTCTTGTTTGGGTACCCTGCCTCGGTGAGAGACGGCCGACTTGTTGAATATATATATATATTATATATTATATATATATATATATATATATATATTTATATATATTTTATATTAATATATATAATTTTATGTCGTGCCGAATATGTAAAACTGGATCAATTAGCGAGAACTCATTTAAATTTAAGTCCTTTCTAAAAATTTCTCTTATACGTTTAAAGATATATTTTTTTTCATTAATGTTAGTGTAAAAATTTTTAATTTGCTCCAAAAGAATCTTAGAAAACCTATCTAACCTTATTATAACAAGAACAATTTATTTTAGCTAACCAACTAAATATATTTTAGATTTGTTTACAGTAATTTACTACTAAACAAACCACAGTGAAATGTATTTTTTTCGTTAGATTCAGAATGATTTTGGCGAAATTATTGCATACACAAATTTTCACTTGTCTTATATGGCAAGATGAACGTTGCTATTTAAGCCAAGATCGCAAGTTCTGCCATTTCGGCACGACATATATATATATATATTATATTATATTATTATATATATATATATATATATATTATATTATATATATATATATGTACATTTATATATATATCCTAGTGTATATACAGCGAGAGGTGAATATATCTTGGTGTATATACACCTCTGTCTATATGTACTGAATGGTCTATAAGCGTCAAGTGTATATATGTCAAGAGATATATATCTCCCAGTGTTTATACTCAGATTTATAAATGTGTATGCACACTGAGAGACCTATAAATATTTTTATATTCACCGAGAGGTGTAACCTCTCATTGTATATATACCAGAGGTCTATAAATATATGTTTATACACCGAGATGTGTATATACGCCATCACCAGAGATATATAAACTGCTCAGTATATGCAACCAGTGGTGTATATCCCTCACTGTATATACACCGAGAAGTGTACCGTTATATTTCATTGAATATGCACCGAGAAAAATACTTTTTAATTTTAATATATATGGGGTTATAAATATTATTTTTTCATTATAATATTTTAAATATTTTGGGGGTTTTTAAAGGGGGTTAACGGCAAAAAAAACGACTAATTAATTTCCTTTGTAAACCAAAACCCCAAAAAATGGAAGGTAAAATTTAGGGCAAAAAATTTTAAAATTTAAAATAACCATAAACGCAATTATTTTTAGCAAAATTTTTTAAAAATTTGTTTAAATTAAACAAACAAACACGTGATTTTTTTTTCACGTTGGAATTTGGGGTTTATTTGGTTGCTAATTTTCTTTATTCATTTTTCCCCTTTGCCCAAGGCACCAAAAACTGGCATTTTTGCATATGTCTATTTTCGGAAAAGGGTTTATATATTTTATTTTTATATTTTATATATATATATTTATATTATTATATATATATTAATATATATATATTTATTATATATATATATCCCAAAAAAAGAATACGCGCAGGGGATTACTGGAAAAATAGACGAAAAAACGTAAAAGCCGGGATATATGTCAGGATTATTTAAAGGCCCTAAATTATAAAATTGTAAAAAAATAAAAGGAGGATAATAAATTAAAAATAGGGAGGAACCCCATGTAATTTCAGGTCATTGTTTTCAGGTGGAATTTTCCCTGAAATAACCCCCCTTTTAGGAAAGGTGAAATTCCCCTGAAAATCAGAGAATTCCCGGGGGCCATTAAGGAGAAAAACACTAATTATTAACCCTTTGGGGTTTCTAAATTTTCCCTCCCGGGGGGGAAAATACTTTTTTTTTTACCCTGGAAATTTCCTGGGGGATTATACCGAAACTTCACACGAAACCCCTCACCAAACAAAATTGGGATTTTGCACCCCCCCCCAAATAAAAAGCTGTATACCTTAAGAAAAATTTTACAAATTTGGGGGGAAAAACTGTTAAAACTGCCTGCACACTAAGGGGGAAAATTTACCAACAGACCCCTGGCAGTTTTTCACTGCTGGACGCCCAAACATTCGGCCCCTTTGTATGGTTTTTGGTGCAGAGGGAAACTTTTTTAGGTTATACAATTAAAAGGGCCCCTTTTGACCCCCGGAATTCCCGGGTAAATCCGGAAAATACTGGAAATAGAAAGATTTAGAGGCAGGCTCTAGTCACTGGGCCCACAAAAGCCATTTGTCTGGGCAACCTTCGGTTTCGAATCCTGTGACTGCGTCTTTCTTTGTTTCCCCGCCTAAGGGAAAAAAAGGCTTAAAAAGGAAAGGTGTTTTTGGCCTATTTTTTGGGAAAAAAAGTTTTCTTGATTGGTGGGAACGTACATGTGTCAATAAAGCAAGCCTAGTTAACCCCCAGGTACTATGTACTTCTAGATGAATAGGGCCAATACTGAAAGAAAAGAATTCAATGACTTTTTAACTAGAAAAAAAAGTTCACTAGTGGAGTCTTATTCCAAAAAAGTACATGATACTCTGTTATTATTAATTAATTTTTTGGATACATTAGAGAAAGCCTTTATGCAGAGCTTTAAGCAATTTTAAAATTTAAACCTTGTCCCTAGGATGTGCCCCCAAACGTGGGCTGACACCAGGTCCCTTTACTCACTGTAGGTAAAAGGGGGACAGAAGTGTAAGGGACTGCCCTCAGGTGTTAATTAAAAGAAAAGAAACTTGTTGGCTCCCCGCATTATTTTTCCAGGTGTGAGGGACATACCTACATCTCTGGAACCCAAACCCAGGGTTCTCTTGAAGCTAAAGGGGTAAACCCGATTAAAAGCACCCTATCACATACCCCCCTTAAACAAAAATTTTTGCGCAACGCTTTTGATCAGAGGAATGGGAAATTAAATCCCATTTTCCGATAACCCTGATCCCTTCCTTCCAAAGGACTTTTTGGTTAATAAAAATAATAATAATAATAATTAAAATCACGAATTTAGCTTTATGGAGCAAAATCTTCCTCCGTTGGGCACTCATCTGCGGGTTTTGGGTCATCCCTCATACAGGCCCCCGACACACCCTGTGTAAAACCCGATATAAATAATATTTTTTCAATAGGATCGTAGTGAATGACATGTTGTCAGAAATGGCACATTCCCCATTTGGAAAAAAAAATATCCTAACCTTGAATTTTGAAATAACTCATAAGCATTTACACTTTTTAAAATTCAACCTCCCTTGGCAAAAATTGGATATTATAACTAAAAAAATAACAAAACCACATATTATGTAGTAAACACAGGGTTATGTTCATTATTTATCAGTGAGTTTTTTTAACCCTAATTTGAGTTAAAAAGTTTCTTGATGGGAACAAGTGACGCACCCTTAATGATGTGTTGTTGAGAGGCTATAAGCCTCATTAACGAACAAAAGAAATCAACTTTTTTAAAGGGGGGGCGGAAAGCCAGCGGAAGGCCTGGGGTCATAAGCCAAAAGCCCCCCAAGTGGGGGGCCCCATAAAACAGCCCGCATAAAGACAAATTTTACCTAAACCAATTAATTATTGAAAAATGAATTCGTAACTGTTAAGCAACCATTATGTTTGTAAAAAAACCTTGAGTTTCCCTGGAGGGGGTTTTTCGGGGGGTCAAGCCCCGGACTGGGTCTGGGCCCGGTTCGTGGGGGGATCAGAGTCTGTTAACCCAGGCGGTGTACTGTAACAAAAATAACCGTTTTATTATATATGATTTTGCTTAAATAGTATTTTTAAAAGTCTGATACGGTTGTTTAGCTGGGATGTCGCAATAACTGAAAAGTGCCCGGCGGGTGTTTCTTACATTCAAAGGCTTAAACACCCTTCATAACTGATGAAGGGGAAGCAGGGTCAAACAAACTTTTACCAAGATACATTTACTTTTTTGACTTTTATAAGCGCCTAAAACACTCTGTAGAGTTTAAAAGGCTCCATAAACATTCTGTAGAGTTTGAAAAAACCCATAAAGCACTTTTTGTGGCTTGTGAAGCTTGTACTTCTTTTTTCGTTCGCTTACGCTACTGTATCCGTTGTACATTCGACGTCTCGTTTTTCTTCCCCGAAACGAATGGCTTTTAAAACAACTAAAAATATGCGATAGCGGGGCTCAAAACCCCCAAATTTTTTTAGCAGCCCCCCAAAAAAGCCCAAAAAATTCCGGGGCCTTAGTCACCTGGCTTCAATACTTCAAATGTGCATCAAGTGGCCAGTCCCCGGGAACCGTTACCCCTGTGCGAGCACTACATGGCTGTGGAAGCTACTGGTTTATTTTTCATTTCTTCCGTCTGGATCCCAGTCTTCGCAAAACAAAAAACACGAATTGGCTTCTAAACCAAATTGCAATCACCTGGGAAAATTTAGTTTTACTATAAAACTTAAAAAAAAAACAACTTACTAAAAGACGTCCCCCCCCTAAAATCAGAAATACGAAAAAATTTATTGCTGTGATAGTAAAAAAATAAAAACCCGTTCCTTTAGGTTTCAGGGTTTTAACAAAAATCATTGTCACCTATCTGGACTGGTAAACAAGATGAAGCCAACGTGGCCGAGCCTGAATTCCCGTGGAAGTAGGAGGAGTCTGCTTTTTGGGGCTTTGATACATTCCGGGCGTACCATCAGAGAGAGGTACAGTACTGCCCCAGCGACCACCCCCTTCCCTGCTAACTTTGTACTGCGATCTCGTTGTACAAAACATGTTACTGTGTTTTGAAAACCCCTTCGAGTTGTTGCTTAGGTCTCTGCAATGATAATTTATTTTTAAATGTTATTTTCGTGGGAAAATTAAAATCAATTCCATTTCCGATACTTCGTTCAAATTAATCATAAATTAAAATTTCACAGTAGGAAACCAACACATCGTAACTAAATCACTTTAAAATTCCCCTTTGCTACACCGTTAAAAAAAGACGTCTCTAACTTTCTTGGAACCCTGAGAATCTAAATTATTTCGAAGTAAACTTGAAAAAATCAAAAATAATTCAAAGATTGGGATACCCAAATGATTTACAGCAGAATTGACAAAAACCCCCAAAAATTTTAATTTTTTTGGGGGTTTGAAGCGTCTTTACAATGGGAAAATGAAGGTTCCTTGGTGGGGGTTTAAGTGCTTTAAACTAAAAAATGACCTGTGTTTATTTTTTTGAGGGAACTTAAAGTTTTCCCCTTTTCCCCGGGCGCTGTAGGGCCCTTAGGGTTCGCGTTCCCCCCTCTAAATGTAAAAAATAATAATAATTAAATAATAATAAATAAAAAAAATAAAAATTGTTTATTATAAAAAAAAGCGCTAAACCTAAGGGTAATAATTAATGTAATATGCAAAAATTTCTATTGTTGTTTTTTGTTTTATGAACTGATAAATTTGTTTGCATAACTTTTTAATTTTTTATTGAGGCTTAAAAACAAAATTTTGAAAATTTTCCTTGGTTTTATGACATTTTTTGTTACCTCTGAAAACTTTTCGTGGTACCTCTACAGGATGTTGTATAAGTGACAATTAAACAACGGCCCCAGAGTGATTAAAAATGCTGAATTAAGTAAACCAAAAAATTTCCTGAAAAACCCAAAAGGGGATAAATACCACCTGACTGACCAGGGTTAAAAAACTGAGAAGGTATTTCTCTCGCGATATATATGAATTATTTTAAACCCCCCATTTTTTGGGGGTTTTGTTTTTGTTGGTGGTGAAAAGGCTACCTACACCCTTAATGTCCGCTTTTATTTGATAGGTTTTAACCTCTTTAATCAACCTTTTCCCACAAGAAGTAGCAAAAAACAACCAAGTCAAATCCCTTAAACAGCCTCCCCTTTCTATATTGACTTTGTCAGTTGTTATTGCTACCAAAATTTGAAACTAAATAATTTGGATCACTTTCTCAAAGTTCTTCTTAAACTTCAGTTATTATCAGAGATTTTTTTTTACCCAGAACCAAGCAAAACAGGTTATTTCTTATTTTGGTTCTGACATAAATTGTTTTAAAAAAACAGTCAGGGGGACCTTTTTAAAATTTTGCTTCAAAAAAAAAATTCCTGTAAAATTGTTTCAATCAATTTTTTAATTAATTTTCCAAAAAATTTCATTTTTACTTAGAGTCATAGCAAAAATTCCTCCCTTGAATTTTTGGGTTCTATTTGGGGTTTTGATCACACCCAAGAAGGGGTACATCTTGTCCTTCCCGAAAAGTAGCCAAAAAAAATTCTATCTGTTTTTTTTTTTTTTTAATTTAATTTTTTCCCCCTTTTAATTTTAATTTTTTTCTTTAAAATTTTTAATTATATATTTTATATTATATATTTAATATATATATATATTTTTTAAAATATATTTATAATTTTAAAAAAAAAACCCCTTGAAAATGGTTAAACGTTTTTGGTTCCTTAAAAAAAAATGGCATTCCCGGAGCTTTTGGGGCCAAAATACTTTTCCCCCAACCCTTAAACCGTGGGCCCCGGGCCTTGGTAGGTCCAAAAAAAACCCCGTATTTTTAAATTTTTTTAAAATTTTATTTTTGGGAAAAAGGATTTTGTATTTTACACTCGGGTTTGGGTTTTGGGGTTTTTCATTTTTTTTTGGAATTTTTTTTAAAAAATTGCTTAAAAATTTTAAACAAGTTTTTTATTTAATATTTTTTTTATTTCCCCAAAAAAAAATAATCAATTTTTTTGGAAAAATTAAATCCCCAAGCCCATTTTTTAAAATTTAAAAAAGAGTTTAAAAAATAAAACCTAGAAAGTTTTTTATTAAATTATTGTTCTTTAAAATTTAAAAAAATTTTTTTAAAAAACTTTTCCTTTCCCCAATTTTTCTCCCTTTAAAAAAGTCAAAATTTGTTTTTAAATTTTTTTTAAAATTTCGAATTTTTCCATTCCTAGATAGGAAAAACCAAAAATTTAAATAGGGAAAATTTAAAAAACCCCCAAAAAGAAGTAAAATTTTTTAAAATTTTAAAAATTTTTAAATAAAAAAAACCCCCCCTTAAAAAAATTTTGGTTTTCCCTTCCCTCTGGTTTTTGCCTTTTTTTAAGCTTTTTTTAATTTAAAATTGATTAAAAAAATTTAATTAAAAAAAATTTTGGGGTTAAAATTCCCCCCAAATGGATGGGTTTTTTTTTTTTAAAATTTTCATAAAAATTTTTGGAAAGGTAAAATTCGTGTTAAAAAAAAATAATTTAACACAAAAACCCTTTTTTTTTTTTGTAAAGGTTTACCTTTTAAAAATTTAGAAATAACAAAATTGGTTTTTTTTTTTTTCGTTTTAAAAAGGTTTTAAAAAATTAATATTTTTGTTTTTTTAAAAATTAAAATTTTTAATTTAAAAGGGGAAAAAATTAATACATGCAAATTAAAGTTGGGGGGAGGGGTTTTCAAAAAACTATCAAAGTTTCTCCCCGGGTCCTTTTTAAGTTTATTGAAGTGGGGGTTTGGCCCCCCCCTTATATATTTTATTTCCTTTATTTTTATTTTTTAAAAGGATACCGAAATTAATTTTTTTTTTTTTAAAATGGGTTTTTATATTTTTAAAACCGTTTTGGTCTTATTGTTTTTTAAAATATTTTTTTTATTTAAAATTTAAAATTTAATTTTTAAAAAAAAATATAAAAAATTTTAATATATTTTGTAACTAGGTTTTTTAAAAAGGTGGTTTTTTTTTTTGGGGGGGGGATTGTGGTTTAAAACGTTGGTGTTCCCTTTAAATTTGCCTTTTCGTCCCCAGAAGTACGTGTTCAACGTTGGGGACCTTTAAAGTTTGGTTTTGGGAGGTGTGGAAAAGGGGGCTTTGGGGGTCTTTTTATGCCCCAATTGGGCTTTTGGGATTACGGGGTTGTGGTTATTTAAAAGGGGTTTTTTTAAAAAATTTTTTTTTTTTGACTGTGTTTTTTAAAAAAATTTGTTTTGTTATGAAAAAAAAGGTTTTTTAAAAAAATATTTTTTTAATTTGTTGTTCCCATTTTTGAAAATAAAAGTGGGTCCCCATCCTTATAAAAAAAAATAAACCCGTAAACTGGGCGTGGAAAAAATTTTACAAATTATTGTTGTTCCTGAAAAACTCAAAATTTTTTTTAGCCCCAAAATTTTTTACCCTTTTTAAAAATGTATTATTATTAGTATTTAAAAATTTTTTTTTCTAATATTTTTTTTAATTGACTCAATAATTTTTATTATAAATAAAAGGGAAAAAATCTTTGGGTTTTAAACAAAAAAATAAAAATTAATGTAAGGGGGGTAGGGGTCCCCCTTGGGGGATTTTAAAGGCCTTTTTCCCCGTTGTTATAAAGGAAAAATAAATAAGGGTTACAGGAAAATTTTTAAAATCCCGGGTTTAAAAAATTTTTTTGGGGGTTTTTTTTGGGGGGCATGATATAAAAGGTTTTGTAAAAATGTGTTGTGGATACGGGAAGAAAATTTTTTGGGGTGTTTGGGGTTGATTTTTAAAAAAACCCCGGGGTTATTAAAGGGTTTTTGGGGTTTATTGGGGGAAAATAAAATTAATTTTTGAATACCGGGGGATTTTTTTTTTTTTTTATACAGGTTATTAATCTGGGGGGGGAAAAAGGGAAAAAAAAACAAATTGTTTTGGGGTTTTTTAATACCATGAAAATTTTTTTTTAAACCTTTTAAATTAAAAAATGGCTTTACGACAAGTTTTTTTAAAAAACCATAAAAAGAAAAGGGGGCCTAATACAAAAGCCCCTTGGGAAATCTTTTTTCCTAGGGAAAATTTTCGGTTCCCCCCCCAAAAACCTTTTCCCCTGAATAAAATAACGAAAATAAAGATATAATTTTTAAAAAGGCGGGAAACCCCCATAAAAGGCTTTTAATTTTTTGAAACAGAGAAGTTTGGAGTTTTTTAACCCCTTTGAAGGGGGAAAAAAAGGTTTGGGGGGAAAATTTTTTGGGGGCATTTGGGGGGGGGAAAAACCTAATTTTTGGGTAAGTTTCCGAAAATTTTTTTAAAAGGGGATTTATTAAAAATTTTTTATTAAAAGGCCCCGTTTTCACGGGTTTTTTGGGAATAAAATTAATTGTATTAAAAAAAGGGGGTTTATAAAAAAGGGGAAGGAAAAAACCTCTGCTTTTTTGGGGGAAAGGGGCCCCCACATTGGCAGGTACTCCAAAATTTTTTTGGTTGGAAAGCTTGTTGAAGGTAGGGTTTTGGGGTGCCCCGGGGAAAAATTTGGAAAATTTGGGGGGTTTTTAAAACCCCCTTTTTCCCAATAAAAATGGGGGTACCTGGGTCGGACTGGGTTGATTTTTGGGAAAACACCGGTCCCCCAAAAAGCACTTTTCAGTAATGTGGCAGGGAAATGAACCTTTAAGATTTGGAAAAAAAAAATAAAAATTTAATGAAGTTGTTAGTAAAAATTCTTTTTTTTCCGATGTTTTTATTAAAAGAAAACCGTATTTAAAATTTAAGATCAAAGTTAAAAAAATTTTTTTTTAAATAAGGGAAATTTTTTAATTTTTTTGAAAATGAAAATGAAGAAAAAGGGTCAGAACACAACATCCAAAAAGGGTAGTTTTGGGGGGGCAAAATTAATTAGAAAAAAAAAAATAATTAGGGAAAAAAATTTTTTAAAAAAAATTTTGCAAAAGGTTTAAAAAAGGATGTTAATGGTTGGGGGGAACAGGAAAAAGGGTTTTGTTTTTTTTTTTAAAAAATAATTTTTGGGAAACATGACCCGGCTGCTGTGCTTACTTCAAGGAGGTTTAAACCCCTTCAAACTGAGAAGGGAAGACAGGCGTCGACAAATTTTCCCAAGACTACTTATACTCTTTGTAGAGTTTTATAAAGCGCCATAAAAACACTCTGTAAGCTTAACAGACCCCCATAAACATTCTTTTAAGCTTGAAAAAACCCCATAAAGCCTTCGTAAGCTTGATAAAAGCTCTGTACTTCTTTCTTCTTTTCGACATTACCTACGATCCTTTGTACATTTACAAACGTCTCGTTTTTTTTCCCCCACGAACGAGGGGTTTTTAAACAACAACAATACGCACTCCGGGGGCCCTGGAACTCCCGATATTTTGCATGCCCCCAGAACCCCAAAAAATTTCCGAGGCCCCTTAGTCCCCGGCATCAAATTCAAATGTCATCAAGTGGCCAGTCCACTGGACCTTCCCCTGATGCGAGCACATACAGGCTTGAACTACTGGACAAAATTTCATTCCCCTTCCGTCTGATACCATTTCGCAAACACTATAAACAGAATTGCTTAAAACCCCAAATTAGCAAAACCTAAAAATTTATTGTTCTTACTATAAAATTTAAAAACAAACAACTACTTAAGACGTACTAATCAGAAATACAGAAAAAATTTATTGCTGTGATAGTAAAAACTATAAACCCTTTCCTTAAAATTCAGGTGTTTATAACAAAAATCATTGATCACCATATTGCGTACTTCAACTAAGTTAAGCCAACGTGGCCGAGATCCCGACACTTCCAGTGGGAAGTTGGGGGGATCTGCTTGTTGGGGGGTTCTGTACATTTTCTGGCAGCCTCAGAGAGAGGACAGTACTGTCCCGACACCACCCCTCCCTGCTAATCTTGTACTGCGATGTTGTACAACAATAGTTACTGTGTGTTTTTTTAGAAACCCCCTTTGGTTGTTGACATAGGCCTCTGCAATGATCAATATTTTTAAATTTCAACTTTATGGGGAAAAAAAATCAAATTTCCATTCCCCATACATTCGATCAAAAAAAATCATCAATTAGAATTTTCACAGTATGGAAAACCCAAAAACTCGTAACTGAATCATCATTTATAATTCCCTTTTCTACACCGTTTTAAGAAAAGCACAGTCTCTAACCTTTTCTTAGGAAAACCCCGGAATCTAAATATATTCGAAGTAAACTTGAAAAAATCAAGAAATAATTCAAAGACTTGGGATACCCATAATGATTTACATGCAGAATTGACTACAATCCCCCAAAAATAATTTATTGGGGGATTGAAGCGTCATATTACAATGGGTAAATGAAGGTTCCTTGGTCGTGGTAAAGTGCTCTTGAACTAAAAAATCAGACCTGTGTTTCATTTCTTTGAGGTGAACTTGAATGTCTTCCATTTCCCCGGGCGCTGTATGAGCCTTACGGGTTCAGCGTTCTCCCCTCTGAATGTAATAATAATAATAATAATAATAATAATAATAATAATGCATTATTATAATAAAAAGAAGCGCTAAACCTACAAGGGTAATAATAATGTAATATGCAAATAATTTGCTATATGTTGATATTTTGTATTATATGAACTGACTCAAATCTTGATATGCATAACTTTTTTAACGTTTTTATTGAGGCTTCAAACATAATTTGAAAATTTTCCATTGGTTTTATGACACTTTGTTACCTCTGTAAACTTACATTCTGTGGTACCTCTCACAGGATGTTGATATAAGTGCACAATTAACTAACTGGTCGCCAGAGTGATTAAAACATGACTGAATTAAGTAAACCAAAAACTTTCACTGCACAAACCACAAAGACTAAATACCACCTGACTGACACAGGGTATATAAACTGAGAAGTGTATTTCTCTCAGCGTATATATACTGAATCTATTTTAATCCCCATTTTTTGGGGGATTGTTTTTGTCTGGTGGTGAAAAGGCTACCTACATCCTTAATGTCGCTAGTGTAGTTGATAGGTTTTAACCCTCATTAATCAACCTTTCCACCAAGAAGTAGCCAAAAACAACCAAGTCAAATCCCTGAAACAGCCATCTCCTATCCTATATTGACTTTGTCAGTATAGTGTATTGCTACCAGAAGTTGAAACTAAATAATTTGTGATCACTTTCTCTAAGTTCTTCATTAACTTCAAGATTATTTATCAGAGATTTTTTGTTAGCCAGAACCAAGTCAAACAGGTTATTTCTTATTGTTGGTTCTGACATAAATTGATTTAAAAAACAGTCATGGACCATTTCTAGAAAGTTGCTTCAACTATAAAATTCCTGTCAAATTGTTTCAATCAATTCGACTACAGTTAATTAAGTTCTTCCATTAAAATTACATTTTTACATCTAGATGTCATAGCAACTTCCTCCCATTGAAGTTTGTCGTGGTCACTATCTAGGTTTGGCGGTCTTAGATCACACCTAAGAATAGCTACATCTTGTCCTTCCAGGAATTGTAGCCAAACAGATTCCATATCTGTTTCTTCTGCCTTTATACCGTTTCTAATATAGCAGTTTAAATTTTCCCCTGACTGTTAATGGAATAATTTATATCACTGTATTTTATATATATATATATATATATATATATATATATATATATATATATATATATATATATATATAATATATTATATATATATACCTTGAGATAATCTAGCAGTTTGAAGACAACGGTGGTTCTTTTGGTGAGGCGGGTCAGTTGTGGTCTTAAACGTCTGAGATGTTCCCTATACATGGCTGCTGCTGCCTCTGCTCCCTTACTGAAGAATACTTGCTGTGTCCTCACCATCCAGTGCAGGGCAGTACCTGTCCATCAGAGGTTAGGTTAGGTTAGGTTCGTCAGGAAACAGGACAGGTACTTCCTGACGGGGGTCTTAATCAGATGATGACCCGCCATTGGAGCTTTTGGTCATCTGACCGAGGCCTTCCGCTGGCTTACCCGTTTAAAAAGTGTGGTTATTATAACCACAAAATATTTTTTTTGTCCCCATATATTTTTAAAATTATTTAAGTTTAGCTTAGTAAAAATTTTACAACAACTTTTCTAATAAAAAATATTTTTTTTTAATAATGCAAAAAAATAATTTTCCCTCATCATTCTGCAGCAAAAATTCAGTGGGTCCCCGAAACCAAATATATAAAGTGAAAACCACAAAGATACAACTGAAAGACAGCTAAAAGATTTTCGTAATTTCAGTTCATTCTTGTTTTTCCCGTAGCGAAACACATCAAATTTTAGGTTATTCTCCCCCAAATTTTTTTCTACCATATTTGCAAAAAAACCTGTCATCCTACGCCTTTAGTGGGTTTTTAAAAATCTTTTTTTTTTTACATAACTTAATTTTTTTTACTTGCCTACATACGAATACTTATTTTTATTTTAATAAAAAGGAAGAGCTAAATCTGCCAGGGAAATAAAAAGTAATACAAAGATTAATGAACGGGGTAGTGGGTTGTCGAAAACCTTTGGGGGAGGTTTGGGGAAAAGTGTCTTCTCTGCGTCCGTTATATAACAGCAAATAAACTAGAGATTATGGGTTAAAAATTTTAATACCCCGGGGATCGGAGGGTTTAAGATGTCTTACTATTTTTCGGATCGGGGGTAATGGAATTTTTTACATAAAATGCAGTGTGTTTGTGATAGGGCTGTAAAAATGACGATTTCCCCGGGGATGCGGAATCCAATTTTCCTAGAATAACCCCCAGGAGTTTTTAAGGGTGTGGGGGTACCAGGGGGAAAACCAAAAATTAACAAATAAAAATACCACCGCACTGCGCCCTTTTTTTTTTTTTTTTTAACGGTTATTAACCTCCGGGATAGTGGAGAGAATAGTAATAAGAAAGTAAGAAAATTTATTCAGGTATACAAAATAATTTACATAGAATTATCATACAAGCAGATATGTTAAGAACCTGGGATCCCCCAAAAAAAGTAGACGAGTGACTTTTTTCCATTGGGGTCCTTTTAGTGTCATATTTCCGTGTCTGGCTTATTTTTCGGCAGAAAATTCAGTGATAAATATTTATTAACCTTACTATACTGGTTAAAAAAAATGGCTTTTATCAGACATTTTTTTTAAAAGGGGACCGTAAGCCCGCAGAAGGCCTCAGTCAGATGACCAAAAGCCCATTGTGGATTCATATGTCTCGCGTCAGGAAACACTTGTCGGTTTTTTGACAAAAATAATACCTACCCATCTTTCTATCAATAAATAACAGCAATAATTTGTTATATCAATTAAGGGGCTAGTGCCTGGGAAAATCCTCACTCACACGAGGGTTTTGGGAAACATTCCGCACGATGAAACGTTTTGGGATGGGTTCCCTACATTTAATGCCCCGTTTGCAGCAGAAAGGGAGGTACCCGGGTGTTAAAACAACTGTTTGGGTGGGATCCTGGGGGGGGGGCAAGATACCTATTAAGAGATAAGTTCCCGAAAGTTCTGCAAAACAGGGGCTTTTTTAAGATTCACTGATGTCAAAAGGCTATCAGTTATATCACGTGCTTTTAGAAATAAAGTTATTTTTAAAAGGGCGCCAAGGAAATAAATCACTTGATTTTTTGGGGGAAACATAGGTTTTCACACATAGCTGCTATTATTAACTCCCTAACGTATTTTTGGGCCCGGTTTAAAGCTCTCGCTTCGCTGGGGAGGGGGCTGGGTTCGATTCCCGGGGAAAAGGGGTGGAAACAGGGGTTTCCCTTTTCCGTTGTCCCCATCCATCAGTAATAAGGGGACCTGGGGGCTAGCGACTGGGGTTGGGCGCCGGACAAAAGACCGATTTGCCCAAATGTCGCATAAAAACGCTTTCTATACAGTATATGTAATTGATGTCAGCTAGGGGCTGTATACCTTTTACATGCTTTAAAATGATATAGTATAATTATTAGTGGGTTTCCCGTTAGTAATAATATTCTTGTTTTCTCTGTATGATTTTTATTAGATAGAAAACTCGTATATATTACTATGACTGCAGAAATGTTAAAAAATGTTTATTATTCTAAAATAATGTTGGATTTATTTATTTATTTATTTATTTATTTGAACATGATACAGTGAAGTACAAAGGAATACAGTTATTACAGTGCAACATGCCAAAGCACACTTGTATGCATAGCATTATGGGCAGCTTAAAATTAACTTAAGATTAACTAAGCAATATATATTCAGTGGTAAAAACATTATTGTAAACATATAACAATTAAGCACAAATGAGTATTACAAAGACAGGTCATGTGGTTATTTACTGTGTTGCTGAGCATTCAGTAGAATGGAGTATTCTGTTAGGTAATGTAATTAAAAAATAAAGTTTGATTGGGTCACAGGTTAGACATTCATGAGATACAATTATGAGAAACATTTACGAGATACAATTTATGAGATACAATTATTTAATATTTATTTAGTTGTGGGTGAGTAAGTGATTTGCGAGAAGAGACTTGAATTTATAAACAGTGTTTCTTTTATATTCACAGGTAATGAATTCTGGGTGGGCAGAACAGAGGGGACGCCAACAAGGAATATACCAACAAGTGTTAGATGACATACACACAACTGAGGAGGAGGTGAAGAAGCCGCTAAGGGACCTTGATACCTCGAAGGCAATGGGACCGGACAAGTGTTAGATGACATACACACAACTGAGGAGGAGGTGAAGAAGCCGCTAAGGGACCTTGATACCTCGAAGGCAATGGGACCGGACAACATCGCCCCATGGGTCCTTAGAGAGGGAACAGAAATGCTGTGTGCCACTAACCACAATCAACACATCCCCTGAAACTGGGCAACTACCTGAGGTATGGAAGACGGCATATGTAATACCCATATTTAAAAAAGGAGACAGAAAAGAGGCACTAAACTATAGACCAGTGTCAATGACGTATATAGTATGCAAAGTCATGGAGAAGATTATCAGGAGGAGAGTGGTGGAGCACCTGGAACGGAACAAGGGTATAAACGCCAACCAGCACAGATTTATGGAAGGCAAATCTTGTATCATAAACCTACTGGAGTTTTATGATAAAGTAACAGAAGTAAGACACGAGAGAGAGGAGTGGGTTGATTGCATCTTCTTGGACTTCAAGAAGGCCTTCGACACAGTTCCTCACAGGAGATTGGTGCAGAAGCTAGAGGATCAAGCGTGTATAACAGGAAGGGCACTGCAATGGATCAGAGAACACCTGACAGGGAGGCAATAACGAGTCATGGTACATGATGAGGTATCACAGTGGGCACCTGTGACGAGTGGGGTCCCACAGGGGTCGGTCCTAGGACCAGTCCTATTTCTGGTATATGTAAATGACATGATGGAAGGGTTAGATTCAGAAGTGCCCCTGTTCGCAGATAATGTGAAGTTAATGAGGAGAATTAAATCAGATGAGGATCAGGCAGGACTTCAAAGAGACCTGGGCAGGTTGGACACCTGGTCCAGCAACTGGCTTCTTGAATTTAACCCCGCCAAATGCAAAGTCATGAAGATCGCTCAAGGAAGCACATATCAACCAGATAACTGCTGCAGCATATGGACGCCTGGCAAACCTGAGAATAGCGTTCCGATACCTTAGTAAGGAATCGTTCAAGACACTGTACACCGTGTACGTCAGGCCCATACTGGAGTATGCAGCACCTGTTTGAAATCCACACTTGATCAAGCACGTCATGAAATTAGAGAAAGTTCAAAGGTTTGCGACAAGGTTAGTTCCAGAGCTAAGGGGAATGTCCTACGACGAAAGGTTAAGGGAAATCGGCCCGACGACACTGGAAGACAGGAGGGTTACAGGAGACATGATAACAACATACAAAATACTGCGTGGAATAGACAAGGTGGACAGAGACAGGATGTTCCAGAGATAGGACACAGAAACAAGGGGTCACAATTGGAAATTGAAGACCCAGATGAGTCAAAGGGATGTTAGGAAGTATTTCTTCAGTCATAGAGTTGTCAGGAAGTGGAATAGTCTAGCAAGTGAGGTAGTGGAGGCAGGAACTATGAGGTATGATAAAACTCATGGAGCAGGGAGAGAGAGGACCTAGCAGCACTCAGTGAAGAGGCAGGGCCAGGAGCTGAGTCTCGACCCCTGCAACCACAATTAGGTGAGGTGAGTACACACACACACACACACACATATAAATATTATAATATATATTATATATTATATATATATATATTATATATATATATATATATATATATATATGTATATATATATATATATATTAATAACAACACTATACTAGCCAAAGATTCGAACCCATGCTGCTTTGGCCTGCCTCATGGTGGCGAAAACTCATGACGCCCTAATCCACTGGACCATACACTCCATGAGGCAGGCCAAAGCAACATGGGTTCGAGTCCTTGGCTAGTGTAGTGTTGTTATATATTATATATATTATAAATATATATATATATATATATATATATATATATATATATATATTATATATATAATATATATATATATATTATATATATATATATAACGACAGGAACTTACATGCAATATATGGGTTACGCTAGCTATGTTGCAGTGACAATGACAAATCACTTTGCCCGAATTCCCTGGGCCATCCTAGGTAACTCACACTTTAATATATATACATGCATGTATGTATGTACTTGCTTGTATACGTTTAGTTCAGGTGTACGTAGATGAACCGGTATCAAAAGAAACTGACACATGTTACCATGCATAACAACTGTTGCCACGTATACTAAGTGAACACGCCACACACCTGAGTGTCAGAATAATAGTCACATGACTAATTCATTATTGTTTCTTGTTTTTTTGTCCCTTTATGATGGCGATATTTTTTTTTTTTTTGTATGAAAGGGGGTAAATGGAGAAATACATCAAGCCGAGGGGGCTAATGATGGAGGAAAAGTTGAGAATTCTTGTTCTATACATTCCCTCTCTTGAAAAAGTGAAGATATTTGACTAATGACTGAGAGAACTAACCCAAGATGACGAGGTTGGGAGTGTCTTGTGGCTGCCTCTCCCACACCTCCATCGCCTCCTGCAGCACCGTCAGGTACTTGTCCCACATGAATGTCATGCGAAAGTTGATGTCCCGGTCCAGCACATATATTTTGTCCTGTATCACGTTCAGTCGCAAAATCTTCTCTATGTCGCCCGTGTCGTTCCAGCTCTGAAGATAATAAATATAACAGCAGTTTACACAAAAAGCATGACAAACACACACACACACACACACACACACACACACACACACACACACACACACACGCACACACTCGTGTACAAACATACGAATTTGAATACATTTAGTAATAAATAAAGTGTAATAAACACTTTTCATTGATCAATAATAGCCCACATGAAGACAGAAACTCAGAAGATAATTTGATTTGTATATTTCGAACCCCTTCTGGGATCCTCTTCAGCTGCAGAGGATCCCAGAAGGAAGGAGGGGGGGGGGGAGTCGAAATATACAGATCAATTAATATCCTGAGTCTGTCTATGTGGGTTATTATTGAGCACATTAGAATTTGATTACCACTCAACTATTCGTTATTTTTATTGCGTATTTCGACGCTTTAGAGCGTTTTTTAAGTATTTTTAGCTAAAATACGTAAATTATCACTCTTTTTAATCGAAACTGCTCCTACAATTGCATTTCTATGTGAAAAAAAAGACAAACCATATTTTTTTCAAGTAGCATGTTTGCATATTTTAGCTAAAAATTAAGGATTATCAGAAAATGCCTGAAACCGCCCTCAATATGCAATAAATTAATGTTTTAGCACATTTTTCTGTTTTAAATATTTTTTCATGTATCTAAAAATCATAAAAAGTTTATAAAAATATATATTATTGAATATATCATATGTGCATAGAGGTAGAAGCAGTTGGATTTATGTAGCATGAAGACACCTGTTGCATCGTCCAGAGACCGAAAGACATCTGGTTTTTATATGTATCCAGTTACTTTCTCCGGTTCCATTTTTTAAATGAATTATTTTCTTTTAAATCGCAGCGTTTGTGGCATAACACGGTGGCAGGTTTCCTTACCTGAGTGTGTAACTTGCGGTACTTGATTCCGGGACTCCTGAAACGAGTGAGGAAGGCACTGAAGAGGTAGCGTATGTGGGAGTCACCAACCAGGACCCAGTGTACCCCCTTGATGAACCACCCACCACCACCATCATTACCATCACCATTACCATCAGCAGTGGAATTTTTTTTTATAATTCCCCTGAAAGTAGAGTATATAAATGTCATTAGAGATAGTGTGTGTAAATTTGTGACTCTATTTGGACCCTTCGAGAAATTTCGAGTGAAAGGGGGGGGGGGGAAGGAAGGGCAGTAGGCACGAAGTGATACAAGGAGACAGACTGACAATACGGCGATGTAGTGTTGGTTGCACAGTTGTTATTAATCCGGCATCGAGGCCGAAAATTGGTTTATCAGCTGGAATCGAGAATTATAAGTTTATTTAGCATCTTCCATTAAGGAATGGACTAATATTGAGTGAAACAGCTACAATATGGCTGTATGATGAAAAGTGAGAGGATGCCAAATCTTCTGTGAAGCATACATCACATGTAGCGTATGCTTACCCTTAATTAGCAGTGTATATTGCCTTGGCCAGTGCATATATTCTGATAGGGTAGCATTAGGATGTGGCTACAATAATTGTGGTAAGTTAATGTCTATAATTTTAATTATTGTGATAATATTATCAAAGTGATGAGAAATTTTACCCAGTGTCTATGCACCATACTTAATATCAGTAACTGTCGTGGACCCAGCAACTCTTTTGTAAATTCAGGTCAAAAATCAACTTATACAGTCCACAATCTATAATTTTCCAGTGTTACTGGTTTTATTAATGTATATAATTGTTTCAGGTATATAATTGTTATAAGTAGGTAGTAGGTTGGTAGACAGTAACAGCCCAGGGAGGTACTACCATACTGCCAAGTGACTGTAAAACGGAAATTCGTATTTGTTTTACATGATGGTAGGATTGCTGGTGTCTTTTTTCTGTCTCATAAACATGCAAGATTTCAGGTACGTCTTGCTACTTATACTTACACTTAGGTCATACTACACATGCATGTACACGTTTGTGTATACACACTCATCTGAGTTTTCTTTGATTTTATCTCAGTAGTTCTTGTTCTTATTGCTTTTTCTTTCATATCCATGGGAAAGTGGAATAAGAATATTTCCTCCGTAAGCCATGCGTGTTGTAAAACTCAACTAAAATTCCGGGAACAATGGGCTAGTAACCCCTTTTCCCTTATACCTCACTAAAATGAAAAAGAAGAAAACCGTCAAAGTGGGAAGTTTGAATGTGCGTGGATGTTGTGCAAATGATAAGAAAACATGATCGTGGATGTTATGAATGAAAAGAAGCTGGATGTTCTGGCTTTAACTAAAATAAAGCTGAAGGGGGTGGGAGAGTTTCAGTGGGGGGAAATAAATGGGATGTGAAAGAGTACTTGTGGTTGGAGATCTCAATGCTAAAGTCGGTAAAAACGATGTAGAGGGAGTAGTAGATAAATTTGGGGTGCCAGGGGTAAATGAAAATGGGGAGCCTTTAATTGAGCTATGTGTAGAAAGAGGTTTGGTAATAAGTAATACATATTTTATGAAAAAGAGGATAAATAAGTATACAAGGTATGATATAGCACGTAATGAAAGTAGTTTGTTAGATTATGTATTGGTGGATAAAAGGTTGATGGGTAGGCTCCAGGATGTACATGTTTATAGAGGGGCAACTGATATATCGGATCATTATTTAGTTGTAGCTACAGTTAGAGTAAGAGGTAGATGGGACAAGAGGAAAATGGCAAAGGTAAGTAAGAAAGAGGCGAAGTTTATAAACTAAGGGAGGAGGAAGTTAGGGTGAGACATAAGCAACTATTGGCAGAAAGGTGGGCTAGTACAAGTATGAGCAGTGAGGGGGTTGAAGAGGGTTGGAATAGTTTTAAAAATGCAGTATTAGAATGTGGGGCAGAAGTTTGTGGTTATAGGAGGGTGGGGGCAGGAGGAAAGAGGAGTTATTGGTGGAATGATGAAGTAAAAGGTGTGATAAGAGAGAAAAAGGTAGCTTATGAGAGTTTTTTTACAAAGAAGTGATATAAGAAGGGCAGAGTATTCGGAGAGTAAAAGAAAAGTGAAGAGAGTGGTGAGAGAGTGCAAAAGGAGAGCAGATGATAGAGTGGGAGAGGCACTGTCAAGAAATTTTAATGAAAATCTGAAAAAATTTTGGAGTGAGATAAATAAGTTAAGAAAGCCTAGGGAACGAATGGATTTGTCAGTTAAAAACAGAGTAGGGGAGTAGTAGATGGGGAGCTGGAGGTATTGGGTAGACGGCGAGAATATTTTGAGGAACTTATAAATGTCGATGAAGAAAGAGAGACAGTAATTTCATGCACTGGCCAGGGAGGTATAACATCTTTTAGGAGTGAAGAAGAGCAGGATGTGAGTGTGGGGGAGGTGCGTGAAGCATTACGTAGAATGAAAGGGGGTAAAGCAGCTGGAACTGACTGGATCATGACAGAAATATTAAAGGCAGGGGGGAAGGGGATATAGTCTTGAATGGTTGGTATTTTTGTTCAATAAATGTATGAAAGAGGGGAAGGTGCCTAGGGATTGGCCAAGAGCGTGTATAGTTCCTTTATATAAAGGGAAGGGGAACAAAAGAGATTGTAAAAACTGAAGGGGAATAAGTTTACTGAGTATACCAGGTAGTGTATGGTAGGGTTATTACTGAAAGAATTAGAGGTGAGACAGAATGTAGGATTGCAGACGAGCAATGAGGCTTTAGAATGGGTAGGGGATGTGTAGATCAGGTGTTTGCATTGAAGCATATGTGTGAACAGTATTTAGATAAAGGTAGAGAAGTTTTCATTGCATTTACGGATTTAGAAAAGGCATATAATAGAGTGGATAGGGGAGCAATGTGGCAGATGCTGCAAGTGTATGGAATAGGTAGTAAGTTACTAAATGGTGTAAAGAGTTTTTATGAGGATAATGAAGCTTAGGTTAGGGAGTATAGGAGAGTGGGAGATTACTTCCCAGTAAAAGTAGGCCTTAAAGAGGGAAGTGTAATGTCACCATGGTTGTTTAACATACTTATAGATGATGTTGTAAAAGAAGTAAATGCTAGAGTGTTGGGGAGAGGGGAAGGATTAGATTATGGGGAATCAAATATAAAATGGGAATTGACACAGTTACTTTTTGCTGATGATACTGTGCTTTTGGGAGATTCTAAAGAAAAATTGCAAAGGTTAGTTGACGAGTTTGGGAGTGTGTAAAGGTAGAAAGTTGAAAGTGAACATAGATAAGAGTAAGGTAATGAGGGTATTGAACGATTGAGATAAAGAAAAACTGGATATCACATTGGAGGAAGGGAGTATGGAAGAAATGAATGTTTTCAGATATTTAGGAGTTGACTTCTCAGCCGATGGGTTTATGAAGGATGAGGTTAACCATAGAACTGATGAAGGGAAAAAGTGAATGGTGCGTTGAGGTATCTATGAAGACAGAAAACATTATCCATGGGGGTAAAGAAGGGAATGTACAAGAGTATAGTGGTACCAACACTCTTATATGGGTGTGAAGCATGGGTTGTAAATGCTGCAGCGAGGAGACGGCTGGAGGCAGTGGAGATGTCCTGTCTCAGGGCAATGTGTAGTGTAAATATTGTGCAGAGTATTCGTAGTATGGAAATTAGCAGGTGTGGAGTTACTAAAAGTATTAGTCAGAGGGCCGAAGGGGGGCTGTTGAGGTGGTTTGGTCCTTTAGAGAGAATGGAACAAAGAATGACTTGGACAGCACATAAATCAGTAGGGGAAGGAAGGCGGGGTAGGGGGTCATCCTCGGAAAGGTTGGAGAGAGGGGGTAAAGAGGTTTTGTGGGCGAAGGGCTTGGACTTCCAGCAAGCGTGCATGAGCATGTTGGATAGGAGTGAATGGAGACGAATGTTTTTTATGACCCGATGAGCTGTTGGAATGTGAGCAGGGTAATATTTTGTGAAGGGATTCAGGAAAACCAGTTAGCCTGGGAAGCACAATGCCTGCACTTTAAAGGAGGGGTCTGGGATATTAGCAATTTGGAGGGATTTCTAAACTGTCATATCTGAGTGCCCCTGCAAAGACAGTGATTATGCATGAGTGATGGTGAAAGTGTTGAATGATGAAAGTTTTTTCTTTTCTTTTTGGGTTTTTCTTTCTTTTTGGGTCTCCCTGCCTCGGTGGGAAACGGCCGACGTGTTAAAAATGTTATAGGTCCAACTTTATGTGAGTGTGATGTTGAGTGAGTGGGCATCGAAGGAGGTACAGTGCTGTGACCCATTGTGCCTAAAGTCCCACCTAGCTCTGAGGAGGTGCAACTAACATCAGTGAGTTCCATTTTAGTTGTACCTGGCTCATGTTATATGCATGTAAGAATTAAGGTTAATACCTGTGAAACTTATGAATATAATTTCTCACAATAGTTGTATAAAAAGTTATAATGTTATGATTTTAACTTCTCATACATATGCGCACGAAATATTAACTACTTCGTATTTTTTTTAAAGATCTTTTGTTTGTTCTCTTTTTTTTCAGAATATTTTCTGTAATAAATATTGACGGCAGTCGATTACTTTTTTAAATATTTTAAACATAATTGTGTTGATTTTTAGCTTAATTTCTTTATGTTCCAAAAGTTTTATAATTTAGATACTGTTATCGGATTATAATGGATAATACAGCGGAACTTCGGTGTTGGAACGAACTGGACCTCGAACGAACCGGAGTCTGAACAGTTTTGTTAAGAATAAATTGACTGGGTCTTTGAACATTTTTCCCGAGTCTGAATACGCTGATTTATTTAATATTCAATTCTAAAAATCTTCACACAAAAGCCCTCTTTCAGAAGTACACTGAAGTGAGCTCTGACATGACCTAACTCTAAGAGACTTTTGGAAGAGTCAGTTCAACATCCTCCAGTGTGTGAGGCTGATAATTAAAGCCTGGGAAATACTGTTTCAGACATCGAACTTTTTTACAGTTCAAACACCACTTAGGAACCAACAAAGTTCAAACACCGGGGTTCCACTTTATTACAAAATATACACACACACAGCTTATCAAAAACTAACGGTATTTTGAGGACTGGTGAGAGGAGACAGACGAGAACAAGAGACTACATAATAGAAACACTTCAGTCTGGAGGTCCCAAAGTGGTAATTGCAGTGAC